CAAAGCAATCGAGCAATACCTTCGTTTGCTAGCTAGATGTTCTTTCACACAAACGCATAACTGCCTCCCAGTTTCTCCAGTATAGCAAGCATCACATGTCAAACACTGAAGTGGATGAACCAAAGTTCATTGTGCACAGTCTCCTACTTTTCCATATGGGCAGATCACGGGGCTATCCATGATGCAAATCCGGTCATAGAGACGATTTCTAACCAACTGGTGTTTAATGCTTACTCTTAGTGTGCTAACCAAAAAAACGTCATTGGCTAGATCGCTCTTTTCAGGCATTCTGAGTAAGTGTGCTGTATCAATGGATATAAATGGTAGCTGAAAATCAATTTTACATTCAATCCCATATGGAAAAGACCTTGATCTGGACGTCACCACACTTCTCTCATGCTGATCATGCATTTCTGAGACTGCTTGCAAAGCCTCGTTGATGCAGACGTTAGTGTAGAGCGCAGACACGACAAATGACTCGACAACAGTCGTGTTGAAATCTGCAAGCACGTAAGCGATCCAAGTACTAACCCGTATTCGACAGATGTGATGGTATATGGATATGGATGTATATCGGTACGCTTTCGAGCCTTTGAAAACGACGAGTTTGTTGAAACGTCAGGCGATCCACCAACATCTGTGCGCTCTTATGCTGCTTTAGCCAAGGAGTGTAGTTTTTTACCTAAACCTCAGGAGGACAGGGAACCACGATGAGAGTACCCAGTGTAAACAGTCAAAACTCTTCCATCCCCTTCTTCCCTTCCAAGGCTTACTTCAAAAATTGCATTTCCGTGGTGTAACACGAGATAACATGTAACACCGTGTTATTTCCTGGAAATACTAACATTGTTGTGCGTGGCCCCTCTCAATTACATTTTCGACTGTTGAAGGCAATCCAGGTCTAAATTTTTGACCTCTCGCAGCACTCTATGCTTATATGTGGATGGAAGTAGATATTGTCTCAGTTACATGCTTCGTCATTGAAGTAAACCTCCGATGTGTGGTTGGCTTTTCCGTGCTAATGATGCTTAGAACCACACGTAGTGAAGTAAATAGCCTTGCTTGTGGTTCATTATCTACCAAGTCATCACAATCACTGAATTCTTCCTCAGCACAGGTTGATACATCTCCAGACTTTTCACAAACGACGGTAATTGAATTGGTGAAAGCTATCATCACACGCAATACTGATCCAGTCATCGGTGGAGTGCTCTGCACCCTATCAACTCCCGTGTATGGAAGTTAGACTACCTGCAAGGGAGTATTGGATCTTCAGGCCGGCAGCGAAAGACTGAGTGGTTTCAATGTGCCCTTTGCCAATTCATGTAGGAAACATCGTGGTCATTTACACAACTTTGTCCTCTATCGTTGTGCTGTACGGATGCAACTATAACCTCCTGAAGTGCTACCTGCCAAGAACAGTTCAATTTTCAGAGTTAGGTTGAGAAAAATCAATGTGCTGGAGCTGTTGGGTCTCGATGACTCTTGTTAACCATTCGGTGTATCCACTAAATTTTCAGGTTTCCATTTCTTCTTCAAGGAGATTTTATGTCGAAAGACTCTCCTGCAGTATAGGGAACTGCGAAGGAGAAAAATTCTGAAAACGCTGACAGTCCTGTTCCACGCAGTACATGTCAAAGCGCACTAATTTCATATACCTCATTTTTATGTTTGATGTTATGTGGCTATGAAACTTCCCACTGCTCTGCAATAGCCGCATCCTTCGCTTCTGCAATTGCCGTTTCTCTTTCTACAACTAGATACAGTGGTCATTGGTACGAGTACAATCACCGCCTTTCCACTCTTGTTAACTTCTGGGATTGCTCTTTGTTATTTTTTCAATTAACTGGTGTGTTCAGAGGTACGAGTGAATAGCTGAATGTCGTTTTCGCATACTAAGGATGTTGGGGCCAACAATGACATCAATGGAAACATACTATCGTCTATTTCACTTCATTCATCACTATGTACAGTGCGTAACAAAGGCATCTGGAGACCTCATTGTCTGGGTGGGTTGGAAGCGATCTCCGAACAAGAAGTCACATCGCATGTGATCTCCAATCCATCGAGCCGGGCGGTCCAGAGAGCGACAGGTAGGCAGCCGACTCTCTGTGAGGCCCATAAGTGGGCCCACAAGTCCTCTCGCACCCTCAATACGACAAGAGCCCCCGTCGTCACGAAGGAACCTATTATTCTAAGCAGAATTCACGTGTTCTGTATTCATTTTTTATCATAAACTGTTATTATTTTTGTCGCATTGTACTGTGCTACTGTGCGGTCCAAGAACCAATCCGAGACATCCACCACATCATTATCTTGGTTCATGGGGCTTGCCAGTGAATTTTGAGCAACAAAACTCATACCATTCGAAACTTGTGAAGTGAAAACCTGGGAGCACCTGTTTTTCTATGATTTTCGAGGAGCTCTTACTCTGTTCTAATTGAAAGAAAAGTCTCGCGTTTTGGGTGCGACTCGAAGCATTTCCTGTCGTCTTGGGAATAATGGTTTCGTCGTCATGCTTGTCCCTAGTAAGCTTCTTTCTGAGGAGGAACAAGCACAAATCAGCTCTCATGAAGCCAGAACTCGAACAGACGAATTGCACGTCGTCTCGGACGTTCTCCTTCATACGTTGGAAATACATTCAGAATCCCAGTGCATACCGCTCAGCTCGAATGGAGGGGTGACCTCAAAGCTCGACAGCTCAGAGTCGCAGTAGAATAGCCCGAGTGGGTTCAAGTTCCACCTTATCGCTGAGTCAATTTCGTGCTTCAATGAGATTTTCGGTCTCGAGGATGACGACACGAAGAGTTTATGAAGGAAGCGCCTAGCCTTAACGCGGAACACAAAAGGGCAAGTCTAGGATTCGCACGCAAAAGCGTGGCAAATCCGTGGGACAAGGTACGACATTTCGAGAGATTATAAAGATACGTAGTTCCAAACATCAATTTCTGCAAGTTTCCCGTTTAGATCATCTTCAGTGATGGAAAAAAAGTTTAGTCTGGACGGTCCAGATGAAAACGGTTCCCACTGGAGAGACCTGGCTTTGGAAGCGGCGGCAAACTGGAGCTAATTTTTTCTCTATGTCGAATGGATAGCCAGGAACATCAAGAATTCCTTCAATTCCACCTCCTGCCATTTCTCAGTGGTGCGTGACGCAGGACACATGTTTTCCGGAATGATGATGCAGCTGTCCATATCTCTCGGTCCACGAAGGAATGCTTCAACGCCACGGTGTTAATGTGATGAATTGGCCAACATGATCTCCTGACTGCAACTCCATCGAAAACCTATGGGGAATCATGGTTCGGCGAGACTATCTCAACTACTGCCAGCACAACCGCGTGGAGGGACGAAAAACGGCGATCCTGGCTGTTTGGGAATCTAAAACGACACGACCATCACAAACTTATTCAGGGCATGCCTAATAGAATGTTCAAGCTGGTCGAGGAATCAGGAGAGCCAATCGATATTTGATCTTATTCAGAGTCCTTCTTGAGATATGTTCCGTATAGTGTCCACACACTTTCGTCACAAACAAGACTTTTTTCCTAAATAAATAAGAGCGAAAGCTTTTTGAAGTTTCCGGAAGAACAATCACTCTAGGGTTTTTCCATCCGCATATTTGTATAAAAGCGGCGTTCTAGCCAAAAATCAAATGTCAAATTCGATAAGCCAAAATAGTGAGGTGTCCACATACTTTTGTTACGCACCGTGTATGCAGATGTGACATTTATTCTGTGTAGCGGTGTCGCGCCGGCAGCATTGATGGCAGCCTCTTCGCTATGGGTGGGCATTGAGTTCAGCCGCGCTCAAGTGCGGCGTCGTAGCCGGTGTGAGGGTCTGATGGGGAACTTACGCGACATCCGCTCTCGCCCCTTGGCACGCGGATGTTCCTTCGGCCCTCGCAGCCCATACGCTGGTCCTACACCCAACTACCGCGATTCGCGAGAACGCCCCCTCACACGGCCTAACCTACACACAGAGCAATTACATCACTCAAACCGGACACATCATCTCACGGCACCATCATAGTATTACGATTTCAACACACTGTGAAGTAGTCCTTCATGTCTACGTCAGCAATGATTCGAAGGGAGGAATGATAGAAATACGGCATATATACATA